GTCAATCTTCTTCTTTAGTTCTTTGTGAGTGAGTCACTTAGTTCTTTAGAAACCTGCGGATTAAGTTTGTTGTGTGATTCAACAACCTTCATTCGTCCATTGATCGAGTGAGTCGATTATCCCACTGATTGAGCGAGTCAATCACCTGAACTATCCCCTGAACCACCCACTGATTCACGAGAGAGTGCTTCTGGCCAGCTCGTGAATTCCACCTTCTGCAAGCTAAGCTTGGAATCTCTTGATCATCAAGTGATCTAAAGTTTGGAGTGATTCCAATCTTGTATCATCTGGTATCAGAGCTTCAAAAGCTCCTATCCCCAAGGTTGTATCTTTTCAACCTATATTTGTTTTTCTGTTTTTCTTATTATTTTTATTTTATATATAAAAAAAAAATCAAATAAATAATTCCTTGCTTTAATCTTGTTATTTGCTTCAGTATTTTATTAACAAAAAAAATATATATATATTTATACTTCCATTTTCTTATTTATTTCGGATTTATTAAAAGAAAATCCATAAAAATCATATTTTTTTGTTAGTCTAAATTAATTTTGTATTTTATTTTTATAAAACCAGAAAATAAAATAAAAACTGAATTTTTCCTTTTGTTATTTGAATTTTTCGGATTTATTTAAAAAAAAAAATATTCATTTCTATTTTTTTGAAGTATTTTCCTTATTTATTGATTTACTTTTTGATACATCTTTCTTTTGCTTGTGCAAGATTCTTCTATCACGAAGACCAGAGCAAATATGGAGTTTATTGAGTTTTACTCACATGAAGAACTTCAAGAAGAAGAGCCCTATCAAGTCACGTCGGATGAGGAAGACAACTATGGAACGATCTCGTGGCGACGAGATGATAGTTCAGCTTCTGATTCAAGAGATGAACCAGGCCATGAAGCACCAGAACCAGAACTGCCTGACTCATACATCAACAATAAAGGCTACTCTAAACCATGGATTAAATTTAATGATAATTTTTCCAGCCATGGTTCAAAATCTCCATTGACCCAAATTATGTCTTTTTCAGGACAAGATGATTATCTAAAACGAAAAGAAGACATGGAGAATAAAAAAGCAACAACGAAGAACTACCATTATAGACCTCTTCCAAGGCATGAAGAGAAGACCGACCATCACCTCTTGTCACACAGAGTGCCTACATCCTCACGTCAAGCCAACCAGAGAGACAAGTACTTCTGTACAAACCCACGAGTAGTACAGGAAGTGATTCAAGGATCATCCATTCGTTTTGAACCACATCCAAGTGGTAGGCGTGATCCCCTAGCTGAGAGAGACGCAAGGACCAGTAAGCTAGGAGGAGGCAAGCTGAAACATGGTGCTAGAAGAGACCCGTTGCTAAACAACCCCACCCGAACCAAGAAGACAAACTTCAGGTTATCTCTAGACAATGGTTATGAGTATTTTGGACCTGAAAGTTTTGAATTTGCAGGACATGAAAGAGATTATCTACAATGGGAAATCAACATGGACAAGTACTTTAGGTACTATTCTATTCCCAAAGCAGAGAGGCTCACCTATTGTCTTGAACAACTCATGGGAA